GGGCCTCATTATTTATTTGGGGGACCCCAAGATGGGAACCAGACCCGTTATGGCCCCTCAAAAGTTCACAGGTTAAAGGTTTCAGGAGGCAATGGTGTGAAAGGAAGGCAAAGAAAGTTCTACTCACGGCCTGCCTCCCTCAGGGGCGTCCCCTCGCTCCGCAGAACCCCTCTTTTGCCTCGGGAACTGCCCTTCTCATGAAACTTTCACTCTCTCTTCGCTGACTCCCCCCAACCTCCAGGAACCTCACTTCCGTCACGGAACCCCGCGTCTCCTCACAGAATCATCTCGCAAAAACCTTCATATCCTCAAGGACCCCGCCAAAGTCTCCGAGGAACTCCCCCATTCCCATGGAACCCTCATCTCATTCCTCCTGGAACCCCCATCTCTTCCCGGAATCCCTTTTCCTTCTCAAAGAACTGCAATCCTGCACTCACAGAACCTCTATCTCCTCATGGACCCCTCAGCTTCTCAGGAGAGTCCCCAACTTCCCGGGGAAACCGCTGCTCGTCTCCCCATTGACACCCGGCTAGTCAGCCCGGGCCCAGCCTCACCCCTTGGCTCCTCCACAGAGCGCCGGTGCAGCTCGCGGTAGCGCTGCAGCGAGGGGACGTGCGCGGAGCCGCTGACCTCCGGCGGCGGAGACCAACTCTGCGCCTGCCCTCCGGCTCCAGCTTCTTCCTGGCCCCTGCTCCTGCTGCTGCTCCGGCCCAGCTCCTCGGGAAGCCCCATCGCGTCAAGTTCCGAGTACTGTCGCCGCCTTTGCGGTCGCCAAGGGTGGGGAAAACAGGCCAACCTAGAGGCGGGGGCCTTAGACGAGGGGCGGAGCCTATTGTGGAGGCGGGGTTTCGGCAGGGTAGTGGGCGTGTCTTTCCTGAAGGGCGTGGTCATGACTGGTAGGGGCGGGATCAGAGTTAGCGAAGACAGAAATACTCGAAAAGTCTAAGGGTAAGGGCGGAACTGACTTGCCGGAAGGAGTGGGACCAACAAGTGAAAGCAGCAGGGGCGGGGCCGGGCGTGACCCGACTGGAGAGAGGGTGGGACTATGAATGACAGAGGAGGTACGGTGCCAGGAGTGACAGGAGAGAAGGTGGTACTATGGAGTGGTGGGGAGTAGCCGGGCTGGATGTGATAGGAGAGGAGGCAGAACCATGGAGTGACCAGGGTGGGGTGGGGTCTTGGACTGACAGATAAGGGGTTGGGTTAGGGCAGGGCTCAAGAGGGTAAGAGTTTGGCTAACGAGAGGAGTTGGCTCAGCCCATCGCGGAGCTGCCCTGTGGTCTGATTGCACAGTCCACCGAGTCACCCCACCGAGTTGGAAAGGGTGACTGTCACCCCACCGAGTTGGAAAGCCAGGTCAACTAAGGTCAGTTCCAGATGACACCCTTCCCCCAGGGTCCCTCCTCTGAGCAACACCCCAATTCCATCCTCAAAAAAAATTTCCCAAGATCTTGAGGACATGGCCCCATGGATGGGACCCCCTCTCTGCTAAGTGATGTCTGCTCAGATTTTCTCCCACTTTTAAGGGTATGTCTCCAATCTCCTTGCCTTCACAAATCTCCGTCCAAATATAAAGTAAAAGACTCATTAAGTGAAGGCTAGGAGGTACCTTCAGGTCCTTGATAATAAACCCACCTCCTAATTGCCTAATTGCACAAACGGTAAAACCAGAAAAGAGAAGGAAGATGTGTAAAGTGACAGAGCAAAGAACAAAACAAGTTACAGCCAAACCTACATTCCGTGACTAAAAGTTCAGTTTTACTTCCTCATCAGGCTAAAGCTAAGGCTGGCAAAATACCAAAGTCTGTTTGAATAGAAGTCATTACTTCATCCTGGGACTCCCTGTCCCCTACCTGCCACAACTTGGGCTCAATTACTTCTGGCTTCCTAGTAGCCCTTCTACTCCCAGAAAGAAGTAAGGCGGCACTCTCTACCTCCCACTGGCACTGCCCAGAAGGGCCCACCTCACCCATCAATTCACAGGGTTCATGGATCGGCTGTCAAGGCAGGAAAGATCCTTAAACATCTAACTTCAAAAGTGATTCTGAGCCCTGAAGCAGACAGCCCTGCCTCATGAAGTCCACACTGCCCATTTAACACTATATAACTCACTCCTTTCTCAGCTGTTCCACTGCCCTTTGCCCAGCTGACCATAGACACAGCACGCCCTAAGCTGAAAAAACAAATCTCCCCATGGTCAGGTATATGTTCCAGAACCTACCCAATCCTGATCTCAGGGTCCACAAAAGGGGTACAGACCTTTTGGACTAGACATGGACTCCATTGACGGGACAAATACTTCACTGAGGAGACATCAACTGTACTGTAAAAACACACATGTTACTGAAGATACATGAATTCTACTAGGGGAGCACAGATGTTTCTGGGGACTCTCAGATCCCGCTGAAGGGCTCTTGACCCTGCTAATAGGATATGAATGACATTGAAGGGCACTTACCCCCCAGAGTGGACATGGATTTCCACCTAGGAGATACAGAGAATATAGACTTTACTATAGACATGGACCCCACTGAGAAGACTCACTCCCACCAAGGAGTTTCCAACTACACTGAGGAAATAGAATGTACCGAAAGGGCACAGACCTCATTTAGTGGGGACAGGCCCCACTGGGAGGATCAGACCTCATTGTAACATAATAGGCTCTATGGAGAAGATAAGACACTGAAGTGATAAGAGCCTCTCTGTAGGGAGGAAGACATATGCAATGACTACACACTCTACCTGTAGGTGATCATCCCCCCTCCCCACCAACTCCCATCACGTAGCTCTGAGCATCACCATCTATTAATAAAGCCTGAGGTTCTTGTCTAGGGTGACACCTCAACTTCCAAAACAAAGTAGCTCCAAGCAGCCTTATCCTTTCTATCCTCCTCTTCCTACAGGCCCCCTCCCAGACCCTAGAGCTGGTCCTGGCCCACTGCTGTCTCTTGTCTATAGGTGGTACTGCAGCTGCTGTGCTTATAGTAGATTTTCTCCTAGTATGGAGTCTGAAGTTGGGGAGAGAGAGGATGTGTGTGCAGGGCTTGACCACGCCCGCTCTCTTCCTGTGTACTCACTGTACAATAGACATTTGGCCCAGAGGCCTCATAGGAGAGGGAAGCTCCCTCATCTTTGGAGATGGAGAAGTAGTGCAAGTTATAACATGGCTGGAATTCCAGAGAGTAGAGAGAGGATAGATGGTTTTGGACAGGATAAGTATCTATAAGATTAAGGTAATAATGATGATGACAATAATAATGATGGCATTTACTGAGTAGGTGTCAAGCCCTATACTAAGTGCTTTCCATTCGTTATATAATTCTCATGACAACCCTCTAAGACGGACACTATTATTCTCTCCATTTTACAGATAAGGAAACTGACACTCAAGAAGATTGTGTCTTGCCCAAGATCACACGGTGTCTGAAGAATATCACCAGGAATAGAACCCAGACAACCAGATCATAAAGACCCATCCCCCACCCTACCCCGCTCCTGTTCTACCACCACTATCATTACTTCTTTCTCAAAACATCATTTCCAGAACCACATCAAAACTCAAAAAGTGGCCAGGCTTAGGGGTACATGACTGTAATCTCAGCAATTTGGGAGGCCCCAACAGGAGGACTGCTTGAGGCCAGGTGTTCAAAACTAGACTGGGCAACGTATCAAAACACCCCTCTCTACAAAAGTAAGTAAGTAAGTAAGTAAATGCCTGATGTGGTGGTTCACATCCAGCACTCTAGGAGGCTGAAGCAAGAGAATTGCTTGAGTTCAGGAGTTCAAAACCAGCCTGAGCAAAAGTGAGACCCTGTCTCTACAAAATATAAAAAATTATCCGGGCATCATGGTGGGCATCCATAGCTACTCAGGAGGCTGAGGCAGGAAGATCGCTTGAACTGAGATGTTTGACTTTGCTGTGCGCCAGGCTAAGGCCACAGCATGCTAGCCTGGGGCTACAGAGTAAGACTCTGTCTCAAAAAATAAAAAACAAAATAAAATAAGATAAATAAATTAGTTAGGCTCAGTGGCTCATACCTGTAGACCTAGCTACTCAGGAGGCTGATCCAGGAGGATTGCTTGAGGCCAGAAATTCCTAATTGCAGTGAGCTATGATCCCACCACTGTACTCCAGCCTGGGCAACAGACCATGACCCTGTCTCTAAAACAAACAACATAAAAACCCTCTTAAAATGATGGTAAATATTCAGGTTCCAAGGACCTCATCCCAGACTATTGAACCATGCATGATCTCTGCAGAAGAATCAGAGGGTCTGCTTTCAAAGATCCTAAAGCACACCAAAATTTGAGAATCGTGCTCCTATGCCGATAGGTCAGGGGTGCCAGAGAGGATTGCGGTTGAAAGAGGAGACTGAGAAGTGTCGGGGTGCGGGGTGCGGGAAGGGATCTGAGGGCAGAGAAGGAATCTGCCATCCAAGGGTTCTGCTGGTGAAAAAGCGGTGTGGGGAGGAAACATGGGCTTGGGGTTAAAAAGGGGTTTGGATGTGAAGGCTGAGTCTCAAGTGAAAAGAGAGGTCTAGGGTCGGAGAAGGAGGCCGAGGTCAGATGAAAAGGATTTTGGAAACCAAGGAGGTGTCTGGAGTACGAGAAGTTTGGGGTCAGAGGCAGGATTTGGGGTCGAAGTGGGGATTGCAATAGGTGAAAGCGTCTGTAGTCCGAGAAGGAAGTCTGGGGTCTGAGGAATATAGCAGCTGGATTCACACTGGAAGGAGAAAGGGGTTTGGTTCCTGAGCCGCATAAAGTGCATGGAAGCCGCTGAGATCTCTCTTGAAGCGTGCTTCCCTCCACCTTCCCCGACCCTCCACTGCCCTCCAGACGCTCCATTCACCCGCACCTTGCGTGCCCACTGCAGGCTGACCGCGCTAAGCAGGCGGGGGCGAGTCAAACCAGGACGTGGCCAAGGGTGGGGGCTAGGCGCCCCCTCCTGGCGGTTCGGGAGCCCAGGCCCCGCCCCCCACCCTCCCACACCCCCCGCCGCAGCCACTTCCGGCGGGCGCTGCGCTGCTGGGGGCGAGGGAGAGGATGGCGGCGGAGAGCGAAGCCAGCCAGGAGAGCGCCCTGGGCGCCTACTCGCCGGTGGACTACATGAGCATCACCAGCTTCCCACGGCTGCCTGAGGACGAGCCGGCGCCCGCGGCTCCGCTGAGGGGGCGCAAGGACGAGGACGCCTTTCTGGGAGACCCCGACACCGGTGAGGCCCACTGGCCCAGTCCCTACCTTGGGAAGTCCCCGGTCCTCTTCCATCTGTGCTGAGCATCCACCTCCAGCCTCCATCTCCTTAATTCATCGCTTTCTTCCTGGACCGCTATCTTCTTCTCCCTTGTCTCTGATGATTATCTATTGGGGAAGGGGTTGCATTTCTGCCTTGGAGGCGTAGGATGCGACAAGGGAGACGATGCTAAGGGACTGCAGTGGGAGGGATTGGGTTTACCTCTTGGGAAGGACCGACAAGGAAGGAATGTTGGAGGGGACATCTAAGGAAGAGCTGTGATAACCCAGAGAGGCCTTTCTCTAGCCGAGGAGGACAGGATAGGAGAAACCAAGTCAGAGACTGCAGCAAGAAGGATACAGTCTGTGTCTCTAGAAGAACTTCCTCACAGCCAGGGGTTATTTGGGGAAGTAGCATGCCAGAAGTGGCTGCGGCGGGGGTTGTGGGAGGGTGGGGGTATGGGAAGCAGAGAGTCCAAGGAGTGGTAAAGAGAATATGATTCTCCTGTATCTGGGAGTGTTGGGTATTGGGAGATAGGGGAATGGTCTATATGACCTCTCAAAGTCCTTGGGGGCTAGAGTGCCTTCACTGTACCGTGGATTACCCACCTCCTCGCAGAGCCATGGACCTAGCTGGAATATTAGTAAGGTACCCTGCTCCCTAGGAAGCAGTCTCCAGAATTTTGCTGTGTTCTCCTAAGCCCTTTGCAGGATCTGCAAGAGGCGGGGGTTGGGAGGGGGGATGCAGGGATTGCTAGAGACCTAGGGGGTCAGAGCTATATGAGCATTACTTCCCTAGTGCTCTCCCTTCTATCCATGTGGCCCATCTCTCTCCTCCCCTCCATTCTTCACCCTTCATCCCCCCTCCTTCCTTCCCTGAACGTCACTTCCTGGCATTAGAGCATCCCTCTACCTCACTCTCTCTTCTTTGCACTGCCTGCACTGAGTTTTTGCTCTTACCAGCCTGGCAGATGCTGTTTCTCTGGCCTGGCTCTTCCATAGATTCTCCCAGCCTGAGAGCTCCAAATTCTCTCCCCCTCCACAATTTACTAGTCATCTGGCCCTGACAAGCAGCCCTTGTCAATTCAACCAGACTGCACTCTACATGGGGTGAGGGTGAGGAGGGTGGGGTTTGGAGGTTTATGGTAATCAAACATCAGGGCTGCAGATCAAAACTTCTTTTCCAGAGAGTAGTTTTGAAATCGGGAGGTAGAAGGGAAAGGAGTTGAAGATGTCCTGGTGTGATGCCTGAAGCCAGGTCTTTTATTCAGTAGAAAGGATTGAGCTCCTGGTCCTAGAATCACCTGGATTCATTGTGTGGCAGTGGGTATGCCTGCTCTGTCCCGGGCCTTAGTTTCTTCTTCCAGCTCAACAGACAGTGCCTTTCTCTCGTAACCTAGAGATTGGAACCTCATGATATATTTTCTCCTGACTCTCTATAAATATCTTAGCATTTATCAAAACCTGTGATTATTTGTGAAATTATGTGATTACTCCATGTCTGTAAAGCCCCAAGAGGGTAAGGATGACTGTTTTGTTTACTGTCATTTATCTAGTATCCAGCTCCCCATTGGGCACTTGGTAAATAACTGTTGAATGAATAAATGAATGCAAGAGAGCTCAGGATGAAAGAATGACAGGAGAGGAAGTTCTAAAACTTCAGGAGTACCTTGGGAATTTCAGTACAGACTCTGTTTTCATCTGTACAACCAGCAGAGATTCTAGTCACCTGAGCTTCTAGCAACTTAAAGACTGTATGCCAAGGTTGTGCACCAAGGTTCCCGAGGACTTACCTTATAGGTTCCAAAGACCTTACTATCAAACTTCTGTGATAATTTCAATGCCATGTCTACCAACCCTACTTCCAAGGCCCAAGTCTCCTTTGCCTTAGTTGGGACAGACTGTTGGCTGACATGGCCTCCTATGTTCTCAGTCCGGTGGTGCCACCTAGTGGCTTGGCCCCATTCCTCTTTAGTCAGGACCTTGGCCAGCTAATTCCTCCAGCTAATCCTCTAGCCTGCTAGTTCCCCAAATCAAGTGCCAGGCACCCCATAGCAGATCCTGTGGGACACAGAGCTTACGTGATGACCCCTTCAAGATTGAGAAGTACTTTCTTTCCTTTCTTCTGAGTTCCAAGCCCATGTGTTCCTCTTTCTCCCAGGCATCTTCCACCAGGTGTCCTGCAAGTGCCTCCCCTTTAATGTCTTCTATGCTGACCTCATCTTCTCTTCCCCACACATCTGCTTTTCCTCCAGTATCATTCTCAATTAATGACACTGCCATTCATCCAGTCTCCAACGATAAATGGTACCTGAACTTCCCTTTTTCCTCTCACTTCCAAATGATGATCAAGAGCTCTCTCCCTCACACCCACCCCCACGAAACATCTTCCAAATTCCCACTCAACCATTCTGTCATTACCACTGTAGACTCTTATCTCTTACCACCAACCACTCTTATCTATATTACTCGTAGACTCTTAGCTATTCTTCCTGTCCCCTGCCTCTTGCCCCCACCCCACCCCAATCCATCCACTACCCTGCACTTGTGGTCATGACATTCCTTAGTGCAAAGATCTTTAGTGATTCTCCCCTTAAGGGAATAAATAAGCCCAAGATAATCTCAGTTACCAGCCAAGATCTCTCTTCTGACCTCTGGACTTGTATTATCAACTCTGTTCAGGATTCTTCTTGGTAAACTTAGTTAAAATTGAGCTATATCCCCAAAAAGCATAGGTGAAAAGTCTAGGGATATGGGACTTCAGCATAGCTAGATCAAGGTGCCTAAAAAGGAATTGACTTTTCTCCATCTTTTGTTCTGCCTTCTTTTTGTGGGCTTGCTTTGTTGCCAGAAAGCCTTCCATATTGTTGGGGACAAGATGCCTTCAGCATCACAGGCTTACATCCTACAAACTTAGCAACCTAAGAAGAAAGAACCTTTCTCTTTCCAGATCCAACAAAAGAACAGAGTTTGAATCTTGTTGGCCTGGTTGTGGTCACTTTCCTGTCCCTGAACCTTTTACGGTTACAGGGGTGCCTGTTCCGATTGGCCAAGCCTAAATTATATACTTACTCTGCTTAGGAATGATGGAGTTGACTGAGAAGAGAGAGAACATTGAATGGGGAATGGTGTCTAAGCAGATGAAAATAAGATGTCTACTGGCCATCTGCCTCCATACAGCTCCTCCTGGTGTCCCAGAGTTCAGAATAACCAAAATTAAACTCATCGTCTATCTCTCAAAAGACTGGTCTTAAACTAACCTTTCCCCTCTGTCTTGCTGTTGCTCTTACATATCAGTAAAATTAATAGTGTTACAGACCCAACACTTACACAGTACACATAGTAGGTATAAAATTTTTGTTGAATAAGTGAATAACTGGGCTCAGCGCCTGTGGCTCGAGCGGCTAAGGCGCCAGCCACATACACCTAAGGTGGCGGGTTTGAATCCCCAGCCCGGGCCCGCCAAACAACAATGATGGCTGCAACCAAAAAATGGCCAGGTGTTGTGGCGGGCGCCTGTAGTCCCAGCTACTTGGGAGGCTGAGGCAGGAGACTTGCTTGATCCCAGGAGTTGGAGGTTGCTATGAGCTGTGATGCCATGGCACTCTACCTAGGGGGATAGCTTGAGGCTCCATCTCAAAAATAAATAAATAAATAAATGAATAACTGAATGATGGAATGGTGGAATAGAAAGTCTCAAATAGATCTAGCTATGTTGGGGGCATATATATCTCCTTTACATATATTCCCTCAGTGAAGTGTTTCCATGACTTATTACATAGGCCCCATGCTCCCCTTGTAGGTCCATATATCTTACTGGAGAAAACAGATTGCAGTACAATTACCTGGCAATATCAGCAAAAATTATGAGGTTGGTTTTTGAGGGTGGAAATATCTCTTGATGTCATGCAGAGTAATGGAAAGTAGGTGTTCTAGTTATACAGACTCCTGCCTCTGTCACTTATTCATTTTATGACCTTAGAAAAGCAATATCATCTTTCTCAGCCTCAGTTTCTTCATCTATAAAGTGGGGAGGGTGGGGTCTAGGTATAAAGTCATGGAAACAGTTCAGTGAGGGAACATATATGTAGAGTGCCTACTACACAGTCAACATAGTCAACATCAATACATATAAGCTCAAAACTCCTTCCTTCATTTCTTTGGAAACCTCTAGGTATCAAGGAGAGTCAAGTGCTCACAATGGGTATTTAATCTCTGTTCTTTGAATGAATTTCAGTTTTATTTATATACTTTGTGATGCTGATGTTGAAGGTTAGAAGAAGCCATAATCAACTGAGGGAGATTCCCAGAAGACAAGGTTTTTTTTTTTTTTGAGACAGAATCTCACTCTGTTGTCCCAGGCTAGAGTGCCTGGTGTGATATCAGCCTAGCTCACACAACCTCAAAATCCTTACCTCAAGTGGTCCTTCTGCCTCTGCCTCTTAAGTAACTAGGGCTACAAGAACCTGCCATAATGCCTAGCTAATTTTTCTATTTCAGTAGAGGTGGGATCTCGCTCTTGCTCAGGCTGGTCTCGAACTTCTGAGCTCAAGACCTGACTTGGCCTCCCAGAGTGCTAGGATTAGAGGTGCAAGCCATCCCACCTAGCCTGATAAGCGTTTTTTTAAAAAATAAAAATTTACAAACAAATTACATGCTCATGGTAAAAAATAAAAAAGTAATAGTGAGGTGATGCCCATAGCTCAGTGGATAGAGTGTCAGCCACATACACCAAGGCTAGCAGGTTTAAACCCAGCCCGGGCCAGCTAAACAACAATGACAACTGCAATGGCTGGGCGCCTGTGGCTCAAGCAGCTAGGGCGCCAGCCACATACACCTGAGCTGGCGGGTTTGAATCCAGCCTGGGCCCGCCAAACAACAATGACGGCTGCAACCAAAAAATAGCTGGGCGTTGCTGCAGGCACCTGTAGTCCCAGCTACTTGGGAGGCTGAGGCAAGAGACTCGCTTGAGCCCAGGAGTTGGAAGTTGCTATGAGCTGTGATACCATAGCACTCTACCCAGGGTCATGGCTTGATGCTCTGTCTTGAAAAAAAAATAAAATAAAATGACAACTGCAAAAATATATAGCCAGGTGTTGTGTTGGGTACCTATAATCCCAACTACATGGGAGGCTGAGGCCAGAGAATTGCTTAAGTCTAAGAGTTTGAGGTTGCTGTAAGCTGTGATGCAATGGCACTCTACCAAGGGGGACATAGTGAGACTATGTCTCAAGAAAAAAAAAAAGTAATAGTGAGAAAAAGGAAAAGTCTCCTCCTCCATTCCTGTAATTTTTCCTTTTATTTTAAGATATATATAAATAGGGTGGCGCCTGTGGCTCAGTTGGTAGGGCGCGGGCTCCATATACCAAGGGTGGTGGGTTCAAACCCAGCCCAACTGCAACAATAAAATAGCCAGGCATTGTGGTGGGCCCCTGCAGTCCCAGCTACTTGGGAGGCTGAGGCAAGAGAATCACCTACACCCAGGAGTTGGAGGATGTTGAGAGCTGTGTGATGCCACGGCACTCTACCAAGGGCAACAAAGTGAGATACTGTCTCTAAAAAAAAAAAAAGATATATATATATATATATATTATATATACATATATAAAAATATATATACACACATATATATATTTTTTAATAGAGCAGGATGTCACTGTGTTGCACAGGCTGAAAGGCAGTGGCTGTTCACCTTGTGATCACAGTACACAGCATCCTCAAACTCTTGGACTTAAGTGATCCTTTTACCTTAGCCTCCCTAGTAGCTGGGAATATGGGCAAGTGCCACCATGTCAGGAATGATTGATTTTTAAAAAGAATTAGACATATAGTAGAAACTCAATAGTTGACCACCTCTCTACATTGACCACTTCTTTAAGTTGACCTTATTTTCACAGGCTGGACATGCACCACAAGTATGTATCAGTATAGCAGTACAGTAGACCTGTTTCCTTATGTGGACCACCTCTGTATGTTGACTAGTTTGTTAGAGTCCCTTGGGTGGTCCACTTAGGGAGGTTCCACTGTATTGTATGTAGGTGGTAAAATTTTCTTTCTTTCTTTTTTTTTTTTGAGACAGAGTCTCACTATGTCACCCTCAGTAGAGTGCTCTGGCGTCACAGCTCACAGCAACATCCAACTCTTGGGCTTAAGTGATTCTCTTGCCTCTGCCTCCCAAGTAGCCCTCCACAATGCCTGGATACTTTTTTGTAGTTGTCATTGTTGTTTGGAAGGCCCGGGCTGGGTTCGAACCCACCAGCTCCAGTGTATATGTCTGGTGCCCTCACCACTGAGCTACAGACACCGAGCCTTGGTGGTAAAATTTTCAAACAAAAAATTCTCCAACCCTATCTTTATTGTCTTTTCCCAAAAGTAACCAATGTAAATAATTTCTAAAAATGTCTTATACATATCAGCATTTTATCTATATAGCTTAGGTACAAAAGGAGTTGAAATAACTTGGGGGTACCTACCAAGCACTTGACATATGTATATATATCACCTCCTGGGATCCTCGTACCCATACACCAGTTAGGGATTAGCTCTATTATTAGGAGGAGGAAGATGAGGTCATGACTTCAAGTGACTTGTCCATATTTAACTAGCAAGTAAGTGGCTTTCAGGTCTCACTGGCCTCCATTCTTAATGTCCTCCAATCTATTCTCTGGATGGCAGCCAGAGGGATTTTTTTTTTTTTTTTT